AGGAGGTCGTACGAAACCAAGAGATGATTCATGTAGCCTGGAGGTGAGCCATACATTGGTCCTAGTTCCATCAGCAATATTTAGTCCAATGATATTTGAAATGAAAACATGTTACTATTCTGAAAATTTTCAAAGCCAAAAATTTGTTGATATGTGGGATGATTATAGGGCCAGAAGAAGACTACACCAAAGCTAAAAAGACGAAGCCTCGATCTCCAATAAATGAATATGAATTTAAATGCATGGCCGATTGTTGTTGGTGGTCATAGGGTGAACTGGAAGGAGGAAGATAAGGTATCAATTTGTGGGGATTGCTATGATAGCCTCATGTTGAAGAGGCAAGACAGCTTAAGCAGTGGTGATAACCTCGTGGGACAATGGGAAGCAGAAAGCAGACCATTTTCTCAAACGTTCGAACCTTCAAAATTATGCCTGCAGCATTCCACTGAAGCCACATTGCAATAGAGGATAGGCAGGAATATGATGATTTACAAAAGAACCTGAATGAGTTGACCGGAACAGATGATTGCGATGAGCTAGTGGTTGTAACGAGCGATTCTTCAGAATCAGACTTGAATTGTCTGGTTGATGTGTCAAAAGCAACCGGCATTTCCAATGCATGAGGGCCTAAAGCAAAGAAATTAACTCAACCGATACCGATAAAGAACCCTAAAACCAGGTAATCCTTCTCGTGAATCATTGTTGAATTTTTTTCATTAGTGCTGCTGCATAGACTGACACTTTTCCCATCTCAGTTGTTAAATATTATAAATGTAAACAGGAGTGTGATCTCGTCATTGCTTCCTTTGCCATCAATGAGGGAAGACACTGCAAGTTCATCGAAAAAACAGTCTAGCCCTATTAAGACAAAGACAAGACCTGGTAAAGTTTGGTCATATGCATCAATACTTTGTGTATAATTTTAGTCTTTTACTTTATAAATGGATGAGGCAAAAATTATGAATTTGCCCCCAACAAATTGTTTAGATTCGCTATCCCTCCAATCCTCTCTTTAGTGCGCTCTGTTAGCATTTCGAATGAAGAAATTTAAATGCGATGTAATTATAATCTTGTACACATGTAAACAATATGTTGTGATTAATGATAGCGTCATGTCTCAGTCAGTAAGTTATAAATACGAGAAGTAAAGAACTCATCAACCATGTTATGTTTATCTATATTTATAATATAATCAAAGTTTTCAAAGTTCATCATTATTCTATGTCCTTTTAATTTTGAAGATATGTATTTTTTTTTTTAGTCTAAACAATTCAAGTATGTTAAAATACATCTTAGCATAATATTTACAAATATTTCAATAAGTGTTTATTTAATATTTAACTTCTATTAATTTTTAATGTCTCGTACATGATATAGTTTAAATAAAACAATATACGAAAATCTTGAATAGTCAAGTGTCTTGTGTCTTGTATATTCAATTGATGAAATATGAAATCAAATAACACATGATTACTGATTTAGCCTGCTTCAGGAAATAGTATTTTGCAACTAGATCAAGTAATCTAAAGCACATTCACTGAATCTTTAGTGGACAAATGTTGAGGTCTTAAGGCTGTGTCACGATCCATCAGATGCCAAGAGATTGTTAAGATAAAAACCACTCCAGCTCCAGTCTCAATTCATAAAAGTGAAGGGAAATACAAAAAATAAGAAGTGCAGAAGGAAGTAGGGAACAATATCAGAGCATAAAGAGGAAGAATGTCACTGGAAGAAGAGCAAAGTTTTAAGCATTCTCACATGCATAATATTAACTTGTGTTCCTCTCCTCCTCCATCAAAAAGCCTTGACCTAATTCCTGACCCATCCCATTATTGTTGTCAAACTCGTAAGTTAACTTCTCAAGTTTTTCATTTTTATATTTTGAACTATAAAATTAATTATATCAACTAGCTTATAAACTTGAACTAAATACAAACTCAATCAAACTAACAAAACTCATTGATATTTTATTGAGTCAAGCGAGTTTAGTATATAGTATGTAGAACTTGATTTATAAAAGTGGTGAGACTCAGTTAAAGAAAAATAAAACTAAAAAAAGTTAAAACTAATTTTAACCCAAAAAAATACAAATAATAAGTTGCCCTATTTTGAATTTCCTATATTAAGTATGATAATCTATAAATGTGGATGAATTTTAATTCCAACGCCTTATATTTAAGGGTAAAAGTATAAATATACCCTTGATGTTTTTTTTAAGGTGCGCTTGATATCCTAAAGTATTTAAAGATACAATTTTATCTTGACGTTTTTTGAAATTGTACAAATATGTCCTGCCATGACTAAGGAGTTACTTTGACCATTAAGTAAAGCACTTGGACCATTAAGTAAAATGTTTTGACCATCAATCTCATATTTGGTTGCCACATCACTTGCTATTTCAGATCTTCTCCTTTCTCCATCATGCCAATCGAAGCATGAGAACTCAATAGTGTTTGCACCTCTGATATCTTTGAATTTTAGCATAATTTCCTAAACTTACACAGTAAATAAACAACAAATAAATGGAGAATCAGATAAGAGTAGATAAGCTCAATATGATGTAGATCTTTAAAAAGGGAAAATAATTCTGGAAATACATAAAAAAGGACCTAGAGAAGCATAAATTAGAGAGATTCCATAACTTTCTAGTCAAGAAAAAAAACATCCAAACAAGCACTCAAAGCTCAACTAGTTAGAAACAAGAACTGGATCGTCGTCATCTCTCCCATCATTCACGAACATCCAAATCCTACTTCTAAATGTTTAGATGATATCTAAAGACTAAAAAATGAGCAATTTAATCCCAATCAACAATGAAACCCACAAGAAGTAGAGGCGGAGCACTTGAAGACATTAGATCAAATCTAGTCAAATAGAAGAGAAGCAGAGACGGAGTAGTAGAACGAGCAAGGACCAGTACCTTCTCCTTCTTGTAATGGCATTTGAAGAAGCAAGAGACTGAAACTAATGCCAAAAAAAAAAGACCGCCAAATGCTTTCTACTTCGCAAAAAAATATGAAGAGAGAGAGAGAGAGCACTGTCTCGACAAGCACAATAAGATTTTGTATTGATCCAATCAAGAGAGTAGCACTGTTCTAATGTTAATTCCAATTAACAATAAAACCATTACTTGAAGAAATTGAAGAAGGGACCCTTACTCGAAAAAGAAAGTCAAAATTAAAGTCAAAGTCAAAGTCAAAAATCTAAGAAAACAATCTAAAACCTAAGAATTATATTGTTATATTGCGGGGACCCAAGAATATGAAATTAAAATCGAAACCCAAGAAAGCAATCGATTTATGCCCACGAGGATGTAGTTAACTCAATGGTCACTAAGTTCCATCAATGGTACGATGAAGATGTGGAGGAAACCCACTTACTGCATCATCACAAGCTCAAGCAAGAAACCCCCATTCCTAGAAAATCTCAAGGGTCTGCAAGTTGTCGTTCTCTTGCTTGAGATGGAGAGAGATCGAGAGAGGAGGGGGATGAGGAGGTTGGTTGCCATTCAAGATGAGATGATGAAGAAGAAAGGACGTGTGGTGTGAGGTGGGATGAGGAAGAACAAGATCTAACATTGCAAATGAGATATGAGATTGACAGTCCAAATGCTTAATTAATAGTCAAAGTGTTGCCTCAATCATGGCAAGATGGTTTTGTATGATTTTAAAAAATGTCACTTTTAAAAATTGTGCCTTTAAATACTTCAAGATACCAAATGCACCTTGAAAAAACAACATCGCAAGTATACTTATATTTTAACCCTGTATTTAAAATATATTTAAATCAAATTATGATTATATTTTGTATTTAAATGATTTAATTACAGACTTTTAATGACTAATAATTAATAGAAGTAATTCCAAGTTTATGATATGAGCTTACTTAAACTCTAAGCTTGACAACCTTGCATCCCATTAAAATCTGTATCCATTACATGTGGCTAAAATACTACCTTTGATTTAGACTTTAAGCAATGATTAAACTGTATAGCTCTATATTATTTTAAAAAGATATACAACATATCAGCCCCATTATGGAGTGCCACCTTGCTCCTTGCTTGCTCTGCTAATCTGCTTTGCACAAGTGGTCGTCTGTTAATTAAGCTTGTTAATATCTTAATGGGAAGGACTATCTAGAGTTTCTAAAATGGGTGATGGGGCTTTGCAAAGCTTTAATTAAACATTACCTTGACATTCGCATTAATTCACTCACGGTAGTGGCTAACCCAATTATTCAAAGCTTTGTTAATTAGTGCATAATCAAGTCCGACATTTATCATTACATATTTGTCCATGAGTTTTTTTTTTTTTTGGACGAAAGATATTTCTCCATAAGATTAATTACGCAACTCAACATAGTTTATATCTCCCGTACATTCCATTGCACCAACTTCAAATAGAAACTCGACTTCAAAAGTTTCAAAATAAATTGTTCAATCCATATGCGTTCCCCCACCCATCAGTGTGCGATGCGTCAAAAGACTCATACTCAGTGGCTTCGATCCCAGAATAAGATTCTTATACTGGAGAATGATCCCTTGTTAAACTCTAATACAGTTTAGCACTTCTAACTATCTTATAACATTCCCAAGGAGTAGTTAAATCATTAAAACAAAATAACGTTTAAAATTTATCACCATTTAAAAGCATGCATTTTTTAAAAAAAAAAAGTTTTTCTAAATTGTAATCGAGGATCATCGTTGCAATAAATAATTAACGCTCCACCCTTTTTATGCAAAATGACTAATATATAAGACTATCAATTTGTTCTAAAAGATGAATAATATATAGTATCTGACCAAGTAATTTGTAAATTTAGAAGACAATATATTGAGATCTTACGTACGTTTATAACCAAAACAAACCCGAACCCGTGAAGGATCTCATCCTTTTTATACATGCAAAGATGAGGCAAATTTCAAGAATTTGCCCACAAGTTGTTAATATTGATCACCACCCCACTACTGCTCTCCCCAGTGCTCTTTTGCTGCATTTGGAATGAAGAAATGTAGCAATAAAAATAGGAAAGACTCAGAAAGGTCGGCATCCTTTTGACCATGTTTAGTATTCGATTCTTCCAACATTAGCCGTTGCACTGCTGGTACAATAAGTACTAGAAAGTTTATGTTTATTCAAACACCAACTATAAGAAAACCAAGACTAAAATAAAGCCAAGGAACATGCATGGGAATGAAACAAAGAAACAACAGTTTTGACAAACAGTAAGTCAGGATGGAGGCCAGTTAATTAGGAGGCAGCCACTGAAGCTCAATGCCATAATTCCAGGAAGCAACAGAGTCATGAGGCTCAGAATCCACCACAGAAGTGTAAGCAGTGCAGCCTCCAAGCCTGACTCTAATTCTATGAGACGTCATGGCTGAATCTTTCAAGTAATGACAGCAAAGTGTATCCATGCATCCTCTTCCCTCCTTCACCTTCTGCTCAAACTCCCTACAGATGCTGTTCAAGGAACAATTCAGAGGAGACTGGAGTATGTTATCAGAGCAGTTAAACAGCATCACAACGTTTTGAGTGGAAATATTAAATGGCAACTTCTCATCAAGCAATAGACCCCCTTCACGCAGATCAGAAGTGCAACACGTGTCCTTCAGAATTACCGGTGGCTTAATCACCAGCTTACAAGCACTTGGGTCAATTCTCAGAATCTTATAGTAAACCCCCGTGGCTGATAAGAACTCTAGACTTCCATTGTTGCAGTATACTCTATACCTAGAATCTCCACACTCCTCATTAGTGCTCAGTGGGTATGGAACTTGAAGGCCACCACAGTCAGGACAAGCACTCATGAGTGCTGAGGCATTGTTTAGCAGACCGAGTAGAATTATTAAAATGAGAACCATCTTCATGTTCAAGGGGATGGAAAGAGTGAGATTATCGGTTTCGCATTGAGAATTGCATGAGCTTGCCCCTTTTATACACCAAAAAGCTACTCACTTTAAGTTAGCTTGTACCTAAAAATGAAGAGGTTATCCTGTGGGATGTCTTCAACTTGTTTCTTAGACCACCAAGAACTTGAAAGTCATTCCCAGGTTTTGACTTATTCTCTGGTTAGTACACCTGTACTTTTACACCACCATATCTGAACATTTACAATTTAAAACAAGATATACGAAGACATGAAAATCTTGAATAGTCAAGTGTCTACTATTGCTCCAGTTGATGAAATATATATGATGTCAAATAGCACATGATTCCTGATTTAGCCTACTTGAGGAAATAGTAATTTGCTAACTAGACCAAGTCGCTCTTACCTTTGAAGATATAAAAAATCACACGATTCCTGTGGCTAGAACTAACTTTGATTTAGAACTTGAAAAATGTTAAACTAAAATCACGTTAGATTATTTTAGAAAGATACAGCATCCCAGCTGCCCCACTATGGAATGCCACTTTCCTCCTTAGTTGGTCTGGTTTAGTTGTTAAGCTTTTCAATATCGTGATGGGAATGATCATCAAGTAATGGAGAAGCACGTGGATTTTCTAAAGTGGGCGATGGGCCTTCTCAAACCCTTAATTAAACATTATTTTGGCATTCACATAAATTCATTTACGTTGCATTTGAATGGGTGAATTTATATTAAAAATTTAAATTTGAAATGGCATATTTGAAATCTTACATTTAAAATTTATAGATTTCAAAATCTTTGTTTGGATGATATGAAAATTTTCAAATTATAATATTAAAATTTTTTGTTTGGATCTTAAATAAAATTTTAAATTCTAAATTATATATTTAAGTTTAAAGGCAACTAGAATGACATCAATGATCTAGTCCTAGTGAAAGTTGACAGTCTATTCAAGATCAAAGGTGGCAGCCTAATCTCAATTGACTCAGATTATCCTATTATAGAAGTCTAAGGGCTATGGATTAGACATTGATGATGATACCATTCCCTATTAACAATACCGTTTGGTGCTAGAAAACAAAGGCAAATGAATCGAAAATGGTGATCAAAAATCAATCCCAGACAATGGTGATGAACTGACATTGGTTAGATGCAATGGTCCAACATCAAAAGATAGTAGCGGACTGACACTAGATTACGACACTAGATTGGTATCGAATGACAATGACAGTAAACAGGCACAAAGTGGCATAAGAGGGTGGTCCTAATCATTGTAGGTGGTCAAGTTTGGGTTAGCATTAGCATCCAATCTCAATCAAAGCCAACTATTCGATCTCGATTAAAGTTGGCCATCCAGTTCTAGTAGGCTTTGGCAATCCAATCTTGGTTGGTGTCAGAGGTCTAATCTCGATCGGTGTCATCCATCTTATCCTTGTCAATGTTGGCCATTAAATCCTAAACCCAATGTGGCAGTTTAGTCCTGGTTGGCGCCAGAGGTCTAGACTAGGAGGCCCCTGGAGGGCTAGGCCCGATCAAAGCCAGTTGGTTGATCTCAGTCAAAGTAGGTTGTCTAATCCCTATCAACATTGACGATGTGGTCCTAGTCGATGTTATCTATCTTATTTCAGTCAAAGTTGGCCATCTGATCACAATTGATTTCGGCAGTCCACTTCATCCTGGTTGACGCTAATGGTCCAATTCAGGTTGACACTAGCATTCCTATCATGGTCATCACCTTATGTTTGGTCCCTATTGATGCTGGCAGTCCAGTCCCAATCAATGTTGACAATCCGGTCCTAGTGAAATCTACTGGAACCAATAATGTCAAAGTTGAGAATGTGGCAAAGTCAATGAACGAATACAAAGAAAGAAGCTTCCATGAAAATTTAAAATAATAGGAATTTAAAAGGATTTTAAAATTACAAAGGAATTAAGTTAAAATTTGGGCTTGAATTTTGGTCAAATCTAAATCTATACATTTTTAATTACTCAAATAATGGATTTGGCTCAAATCCAAATCCATATTCATTCAAACATAACATTATGGTATATTTGGATTAGTGAGGATTTGGATTTGGAATTGAATCAAATTCTTTTTTTTATAAATAAAACTTTATAAATTTGAATTTGATTCAAATCTAAATCTATTTTAAATTATAAACAAAAATTCATTTATAATTTTAAATTACTAATACACTATAATCATTTAAAATTTTAATAACTTCAAATATCTTGTTCTCTTTACGTTTTTATTATTATTACTTTTATAATTTGCGTATTTTTTATCATTTCTTATCAATTAAAAATAGAAATAACTCAACATTTCTAATTTTTTAATTTTATTTTAAATCTCAATTCATCTCGCTTTTTTAATGAAAAATTTTGTAAGCTGCCTGAACAAAAAAATTTAAAATTTTAAATATGAGATTTAACATGGTAAGTTTTAAATTTAAACTCCAAATTAAAATTTGTCAATCCAAATGTTAGCTTATAGTAGTGGACATTCCACGTTACTCAAACCTTTTATTAATGCATAATCGAGGCCAACCACTATCATTACATTCTTGTCAATGATATCACACAACTTCCCATAGTTTATATGTCTTCAATTCACTCCTTTACACTGTCGCTAAAACTAGACTGAAAAGTTTCAAAGTAAATTATTCAATACTCAAGATATTCACTTAATTTATACTCTCTTCATTTAAAAATATAAGATATTTTTTAAAAAGTTTAATGTTAAAAAATATAAGGCATTTGTAGTCTTTCAAGGTGTAATTATTTTTTTTTTTAAAAGCACCCTTATTGATAATGACTTTATATTTATTGTAGGGTATTTAATATAGATAAATTTAAAAAGATAGAATTAATTTGAAAGTAGGCAATCACTTTATTAAGAGGTAAGATTCAATTAAAAATATTTAATATTTTTAAATAAAAAGAGTAGCAGATTTAATGGGAAAGGTAAAAACGTGACATTAGATGATTGAATTTTAATGAAAGGAATTATATTCAGCCATTTGTCCGGTTTGTAAGCCGCCCAAAAATCAATGCTCGACCACCTGTGTCAGCAAGTGATCCACAAAAAGATCCACACAGTTGTAACGAATCCAAAATAAGACACCTTTATGCTAGAGAATGATCTGTTAATTAAACTTTAATTTGCAAGTCGATTGAAATTGTAAAAACTTGCTTGTATTCAGAGTCACAGTGATTCTATAAATGCAGCACCCGGTTTGTTGCCGGGCAGTAAAATTCAGCACTACTTTTACTTCTTCACCTGATTTTCATCAAGTCTTCCCCGCAACATTCCAAATTAACTCAAGTGGACTTCCAATGCGTGGCAATTGTTCATTTCTTATGAACAACATATTAAAATTTTATTTTTGATGCAGTTGTGCGAAATTTGAGTTGCCTTAATTTTACTCAAGCTTTCTCCGCTCCTTGTAAGCCGAATTTTCCCTGAAGGAACAAAGGTTGAGAGCAGCTGAACTTTCCGTTTGTTATGAATCAAACAAGGATTACAACATTGAAGGCCAAGGAAGTCTTTGAGACTGGGTATTTATAAATCCCAGGTCGCGGTGGTTTGATTTATGTTTTGTAGCTTTCCTTTCAGTGTATACTTATGAAATTAGTTTCACAGGAGCTACATTTTGTTGGCATGATGGTGAATGCTGAATCAATCATCAATATATATTGCAAAGTATGTCAAAATATTGTGGATCTACAATGCTTTGAACGATGTTTTCTGTGTCTTTTTTTTTTTTTTTTAATTTAGTTGATGAACGATTTTGTTTAAAAAAATATATAGTTTTGGGACCCATAATAAAAAAAGTGAGTGTAGGACCAACATTTGTAAATTTCAAAAAATTAGATAAGTTATCAAAAATAACAAGATTTTTATATTTTAAAAGATCATGTAGGATTAATAAAAATTGACGATGAATATAATATTTTAAATAAAAATAATAAGTGTTAGATATATAAAAAAATTACTAATAGTATGACCTATAAAAAAAATGAGTGTGGAACCTATAATTTAATTAATAAATTTAAATTAATAATTAATTTAAATTTTTTAATTTTTAAAAAACATTAGTCAATTGATGAATTTGTTAAACAAAATAATGTACATATATGTATATATATAGTTGCAGGACTAATGGAAAAAAAGTGGATATGGGATCTTTCATTGAAAAATGTAGATGTGGAACCTACATTTGTAAATATTAAAATTTTAAACAAAGTGTAAAAAATAATAAAATTTTTATATTTTAAAAGATCATGTAGGATCCATAGTAAAAATTAAAAATAGATATAAGATTCTTAGTAAAAATAATAGGTATTAGATATGCAATAAAATTTATATGGGGATAATAATATGACATGGGTACAAATAATTTACTATATATTTATTATTAACACATGTTAACAAATTATAAAATAATTTGTGTGAGAATATATAAATCAAGTTTTTATTCATATTTTTCAAATGCATAAGGTATAAAATCTATTATTCTATTATTTATATGTAAAAGTGGACTATGATTTGAAAATATATGAAAAGCATTGATGTAGTTATATGCTTCAAGTTTGAGCAAAAAAAAAAATTATGGGCATCAAGTTAATTATATAATGTTAATGAATTCATCTTACACTACACATCTAATTATCTTTAATTAATAATCATTGTATTACTTGTAATACTTTATTAAGTGATATAATATTCTCATTCATACAATTGATAAATGGTACTATTATAACATGGATTATACTATTTGCTTGATTTACAACCATTATAATTATGATTTATAAATAATATCATGACATAAATTGTAGTATGATTCATTACAATACTTCTTTTTTGCTTTTAAAACTTACACTATAGTCTCATTTTTAACATTGTTAGGAATATTATGTTAAATATTATAAAATATTTAATTTATTATTTGTATTTATATTGAAAATTTTTAAATTATTAATTTACCACTATAATATTTGTCTATCATCTCGCTTTATAATTTAAAGAACTTTAAACAATTTTTTTTGCCAAAAAAGAAACTTTAAACAATTAAATATGACAATCATTTAAAATTTTTTAACAAAATTATAAAATTTAATTGAACGTAAATATAAATTATATTGACTAATTTATCTATTTCATTAATTTTTTTTACATACGTGTTTGAAATTA